GCATATTTCCAATTCGAAAAACGCCAAACTATAACCTCTGTAAAAAAAATATTCAATCACCAAGCAATGAATTTCCCTAAATACTTAAATGGTAATTCAGATAAGAATTGTGATTACTCTCAAAAGACTTGGAATCGTTGTAAGGATTCAAATTATAAAAAAAAATGTAGATGTGATTTCCAAGAGAGAGAAAAAATTTGTAACGTCTGTACTAAAGACTGTATAGACAAACATACTCTTGCTCATTGGCAAGCTACAGAATTAACAAGTGTTGAGAATGGACCTTGGGAATTTGGAAATTACCGTTATTTAGGAACTTCTTCCGAATTAAAAAAAAGTGACGATACATTAAATGAGAAGAGATTAAAAGATATTGAGAGAATCAATCATATTATCGAAAATGATCTTACTATAGATGATATCTTAAAAAATAAAAAAAAACTATTACCTTGGAGTTGGTTAAGAAGTTTAAAAGATCTTGAATACTTGATCAAAAAAGAGAAAGAGATTAGAGAAGCAAATATTAAAAGATTTTGGCGTCCGTGCTGTATTTATTTATTTGGACCTGGTGGCTCCGGTAAATCTGGATTAGTGCAAAAACTATTTAGAGAAGAACTTTACTCAAAACCTCAGAAGCAAAAAAGTGGTTCTAATTGGTGGAATGGTTACTCTGGTCAAGATATAGTTTTTTTGATGAATGGTATACTTGTTTATCATGAGCAGATATTGTCAAGTTATTAAATGATACCGACGAACATGTTGAGATAAAAAATAAAGGCTTTATTCCTTTTCTAGCGAAATATGTTTTTATGACTTCTAGGAAAGCTTCTCAAGAAGCATTTAATTTTGGAAACGGTGTTGTTGTTGACAATACAACAGTCCATAGAGGTTAATATGTTATAGAACATTTTTAATATTTAATTTATTTATTTAAATATTAAAATTGATTATTTATTTTTAGATTGAGGTCAGTTTGAACGAAGATTAGATTTTATAATTCAGTTTACTGGTAATTGGAAAAATAAAACCACACAAATCCATTTTCTTAAAGGTTCTGAAGAGGATTTTCGAAATATGAATTGGAAGATTGAATTTGATAGAAGTGAATTTTCAAATGATCAAATAGTCGAAAAAATAAAAACATCAGGTTTTAAAGATGGAGAAATCATTTTCGATAACGAAAAGGTTTTATGGAAACAAAATTTCCCAGAATTTAAAAAAAAATATCTTCGAGACTATCCACATAGCAAGTCTTTATATGAATACAAATTGGAACTCGAGAATCCTGAATCAGTCTACAATTCTGAGATGAGTGAATATAACTCAGACGATTCTCAATATACAAAAGAGAAAAAGTTGAGAAACAAAACCAACGGAAAAAGAAAAGCAGACCACCAATTAGAGAAATCAATTAAAAAAAAATAAATTATAAATTTTATTATGTAATGAATAAAATAAAAATTACACTGAATAACCATTTAAATTTCCTGTTATTTCGTCATGAGTTAATTTAAAATTTATAGTTTGTTGTTTTGTTTTAAACCGTTTAACTTTGTGTTTTTTATTTTCTTTCCATCGAAATCCCCAAGAATTTCTAGATTTATAAAAAGTAATTCCATTATAGCCTGAGGTATTATTTTTTTTAAGTTTACAATTCAAAGCATTTTCTTTTGTTGTTGTTTCTCGAAGATTGCATTCACGATTATCACATCCATTACGATTTATATGGTCGATTATATTCTATTTGGGTTGAATCAAACGATGAAGTAGTAAATTTTTTTGATTATTTTTTGTCCAAATATAATATGTATTTCCATATTTACAAGACGTCCAAGTATATTTTTTCATTATACCATAATTTTTGATATCGATCAAAAAAGTGATTTCTGATTTCTGGGTCTTAACTTCAAAATAATCAACATCGAGAATAGATATCTTTCGAATTCGATTATAAAGTTTGTTTTTGTGATTACCCTTTCCTAACTTTCCAAAGGTCCAAAATGTTTTGATGGTAAAACTCGGATGAATTTTCCTCCAAGGTGAATTTTGGGATTCAGTTTCTAGAAACAATCTTGTTGATTCAAACATTCTTATAATTTAATGAGAATGTCGAAGGAATTAAAAATACCTTCCTTTATATTTATACTTTAAGTTTATTTATTTAATTATTTAATTAATACAAATAAATATTTCGAAAATAGTTGCAATTATTACACCTAAAGAACCATTTTTTTTATCTGTTGACCTTCTGAAATAAATTTGTTTTTGTTCTTCAGAACATTTACACAATTCTGAATATTTGAA